ATAGATCGATTCTTTTAGATGAATGAGACCTATATCGCTATCAAGCGGTTCCAAAGTAAAATTAATGTGCATATATGCTTGATTTATAGGAACTCTTTGAGAGAAGCCTTTGTTCCACACTTTCATACCAACTACCGCACTAAAACGAAATACATCGCTCATCTTTTTACTACAATGAGCTGCCGTCAAAACCCACAATGGACTAAGCAAAGTTCCACCACAGAAAGGTTTGGATCCTTTCACGATTGAAACTAAATATGAATATTCTTCAGGTGTACAATCGTATCCATGAACGATTCGCATCTTTAAATTTTGCCCAGATTTAATATGCGAACGTTTAGTCGGGTTCCTGGAGGAATGAGTTATTTCAAAGTCGTTTGTATGATTGCACTCAAACATGTTTGATGTCACTATATTTAATATTATTAATAATAAAAATGTATTCATTTTAATAGTAGAATTTTTTTAACATTTTCTCGTTATTTTAAATGTCAAAATGGTAATATTTTATATTGTCAGAAAACATGAATGATGTTGACGTTCAATTAGAAATACAGGTACATCTATAATTAATATTTTCTAACTAATAAAAAAACAATACAAAAAAATATCAAATGAATATCGCTTGAAAATATAAAACAAGAACCTCTAACATTAGGTTCGAAATCGTTGTGGTCTCTAACCGACATCGATGATTGTATTTCCTCTATAAAATCATGAAAAATATCTACTCTGTTATAAAGTCCCGGAAACTCCATTAATCCACATCCTATCCCAGCTGACACAACACCAACTTGAAGATCATCACAAACGAGTGGACCACCCGAATCGCCTTGACAAGCATCAGCACCAACCATACTAGCATCTTTTGAACAAAAAACCGTATCGGTAATTAGATCTCCGTAAATATCTTGGCATTCTTCCAAAGGAATTGGGTCAACGTCAGCACATTGAGAGTGCGTTTTAAAATGCCGATTAGAATAACGTGGTTTTAATTTATTTTCTCGTTTGAATTCTTCCTTGGTGTTTTGTTCACCAAAACCCATAACAGTAGCAGTACGACACATATTTCCTTTAATCATATCCGAATATTGTTGACGGGTTACCAGTTTCACTATTTTCACCCTTTTATTCAATTGCACCTCATTTTGAAGTAATATAACACAAATATCATTTTTTAATGGTTCCATTGCAAAATTTGGGTGCATAAAAACGCTAACGATATGGGTCTCTTGAAATCCAGGAACGTGAAGTTCTTCTTGTCCAACTCTTAAAGTATAGTAACGAAGATTTTTCATTCTTTCGCAACAATGAGCTGCCGTTAATGCCCAAGATTTCGATATCAAACTTGCCCCGCACATCATGGTTGATCCAATCATAATCGACGCTAAATATCCATATTGGGCTTCTGAACAATCGTATCCTCTCACGACTCTTTGACGAACTTTCTTTTTTTTCTTCTTCCATTTTTTTGATGAAGATGATGTGGAATTTTCATACATGATCGTAGTAAAAGCATGCGCGTCTTTGTCATTTGATAAAAATTGTGGCTCAAGGGCTATATTTTCACTGATTTTTAGTTCATTTAAGTTCGTTTGAAGTTCATTTGAAGAAATATTCGTCTCTTGAGATTTTATTGGAAAAGGTATTAACAATAAAAAGAATGTTAATAATACAATATTGTTAGAATTTATCATAGCAGAAATTTTTTCGTGTAATTTTTTTAATTGGCAGTTAGGTTTTATTGTAAAAGTCATTGTCATTTATGCGACACACGACTTTGTTTCAATACGACATTTTGATCACGATCAACATACATAAATGTTTTATCAATTTTAGCCAAATACAAATCGGGAAAAAAATTTTTTTTAGTCTTAGAAAACGTCGGCCGCCATAGGTGCACGTGATACTTGGGGCGGCAGACGTCTTTTGACTTGCCATTTGGTGCTAGTAAGATTGTATCATTTCTGCCGTTTCCTTCTTCTAGTGTTGAGATGATTTTACCCCAAGGAGCCGAATTAAAACCAATTTCGATAATTAAAAGCACCAGCACACAAACTCTCTGTCCTTCAGAGCATTCATCTTCATTTTATCAACTTCTTTATGAAGCTTAATAATGGCGTCGATGGTTGATCCAACTTTAGGGTAGACACACTGGTTATCATGCAGAAGATGCATTTCTTCTGCTTCTCTGTGGAATCTGTCTTTGAGAAGGCTTTCTAGCAGTTTACCCGAGACATTGCATAGGCACTAAGCCTTATGTCGTTTCAGTCTCTTGTTTCTGCGATTTTTCAATCAACACCAAGGCGGACGTTTTCCATATTTTTGGGAAATTACTTATTGGACACCTGTTGTACACTTCTAAGAAATCTTCTGGGTAACTACTGACTAAGGCCAAACGTATCTCCGGCAGTATCTTATCAGGTGCGAGAGCCCTTTTATGTTTGCCCCAGTTTTCTAATATGATTCTCCACTGCTTCTTCCGGGATTGCTGATCTATTCATCAACATCCTCGAAATCGGCCGAGATTCTACTCTCATCTACATCTTAACCAACTATTGCCAAATAATCATTTTGATATTAATTTTAAGTTAATTTTAACCTCGTTTATACATATTAAGTATATTTATACCATAATAATTGTTATAAACATCTTTAATAACAAAAATTGCTACATATACAAGAAAGTGATTAAAGAAGTACTCCAGGAAAACTCCCTTTCATAACGGTTTCAGCTTTTCTGCAGTACCCTATAGATACTTTAACAAATTATTGACTTATTAATAACCAAACACTGCTAAGAATACATAAAACATTTGCAAAATAAAAAAGATTATCTCCAGCATGGCTCATACGTGCAACTTCTTGAAAGAAATCTTCATAAATATCAACACGACAATAAAGACCTGGATAATTTGGATTTCCACAGCCAAAACCAGCCGATACAATGCCTATTTGCATATCCTCGCACATAATCGGTCCACCAGAATCACCTTGACAAGCATCTCGGCCTTCATAAGTTGTATCCACTCCACAAAAAATTGTATCGGTGATAAGTTTATGAAACATATCATCGCAATCTTCGTAAACCACTGCTTTTATACTAGCACATTGCACGTGTTTATTAAACGCCCGCCGGGAACGATTATTAACGTTTCTTCGAAATGGTGCCTTTTTGTGCTGATGTCCAAATCCCAAAACGATAGAATCATCACATTTTCCTTCTGAAAGTAAATTAGTAAAATTGTCTTTAGATGCCAATGTTACTATTTTAGCGTCTGCTGCATAGACTGGATCTTGAAGTGATATAATGCAAATATCGCTTTGTAAAGGATTGAAAGAAAAGTCTGGATGTGCAAACACTTGGCGTATTCTGTAAACGTTCGAGGTTGATTTTTGGTCCAAAGTCTTCATACCTATGTGCACCGTATAATAATATAAATCGTTCATAGCAACACAACAGTGAGCCGCCGTTAGTACTAATTTCCGCGACACTAAAGTTCCTCCACAAAAAGGATTCCCACTACCAGATAGAATTGTTGCTAAATATTTATATTGAGCTCTTGCGCAATTGTATCCCTTTACGATTCTTCCCTCAATAGATTTGTTCTTTGCCGTACTTCCTTCAAGTTGAGATCGCTTTTGAATTATTGTCGTTGTTAGATTCATATCGAAATCTAATATTGAATCAAGTAGCGATGTCTCGTTAGAATAGATATTCTCAAGTGTTGCTGAAGATATTATCATAAAATAACATATTCTCAAAGATATCTGCATAAAATCGATGAAATTTATTAATCTTTGAAAAGTATTTGTTATGTCAAGCAGTTTCCATGAAAACAATTTCTCATTTGCAATAGGTCCCTTGATATAGCTTTGGGATTTCAAACGTTGTTATTCAGATGATTTTATTATCACAAAACAGACGAACAGCAAGAAAAAGTTACAACTAATGAAATCTACGGAAGCTTGCCGTTTAACGTCCAATATAAAATCTTCAAAAATATCAACTCTAGAATATATTCCAGGAGTCGATTGTCCGCATCCTATCCCGGCAGAAACGATGCCAATTTGAGTTTGATTACAAAACATAGGACCACCAGAATCCCCTTGACATGCATCGCGTCCACTATTACTTGGATCAGAAGCACAAAACGATGTATCAGTAATTATACCTTTAAAAACAAATCTACAAATATCCGTATCGAGTGCTTTAACATTAACACACTGTACATGAGGATTACGTCTCTTATCAGACGAGTACATCTCATATCTCGTTTTTTTTCCTGCCGCATACGCTGTTTGTGATCCAAAGCCCATTACAAGAGAATTATCACACAATTGACTTTCCATCAACTCTTTATATTTTTCCTTCGAAGCGACATTTGCCAGTTTAACATCACCATTAACTTGCATTCTATCTCTTAGGTGTAAGATGCAAATGTCACTATCTATAGGTGTTGCGCCATATTGTGGATGAATGTAGATATTCCTTATTCCACTACTCTGTTTATAATATCCATATGGCATAACACTTTGACCAACCCTTACCGAATATCGAAAAAGTAAATACATCTTTGCACAGCAATGAGCAGCAGTTAACACCAAATTATTGGATATTAAAGACCCACCACAATACGCGCTTCCCCCATACACTATTAAAGCAAGATAAGCATATTGATCCTTAGCACAATTATATCCACTAATTATCCTTCCGAAAACAGTTAAATTTTTGGGAGATCTAATATTTGATGGATGAGGTACACCATTAAATTTTCCAAAAACTGAAGAAACATTAGCATAAATTAAAAATGTTAACAGTAACCAACATTTGAGTAATGTTGACATCGTGGACATTATTAAAATTTGAAGGATCCCATCACTTATGATTTATGATTTATTCGTAAAGTAACGTGAAATAACATCATAACAATTTTGATCATCCCTGTACCTAACCATCCATCTTTGTATCATCCCAGTAACACCACCCTAAAAAATCTAATTTCTCCAAACATTATTTACAGTTAATTCATTGCCCAACTTTTTAGTTTTTGAACTCAAAAGATAATTTCTTATCTAAACGAATAATTTACGGCGATATACTTAAGAATACAACATTACATTCGTTGTAAATCGACCAATTGAAACCACAACGATTACCATGCATTATTGAGTTTTCGATAAGACGGACGAAACGTCAAAGTTGATTTTTTAGGTTATGTTAAAGTACCATTCCTAGAGACGATGAGTGTTTTCTCAAAATTTCGCGATTTCTTGCACCGCCATCGTAACAAATTCATCGTGACTGGTGTCTTATTCACAGGCACGTTCTTTTTGTTGAGATATGCCCAAAGAAGGCTGCGCGATTGGCAAGAACGCGAGGCGAAAGAAATATTGGAGAGAACTCGGAAACAACAACACTTTGAGAGTACCGAACGAACGTGTAATCAGACGATTATTAATCTTTCTGGCGCACTAAAAAAATCTTTAACGAAAATATTGAATACAGATGATATAGTTGATACTTTAAGAGGTAATCCTGATAATAAAGTTGATTTATGGGAAAAATTAAAGGTAAAATGAATATTTTTAAAGGGATTTATAATAAAAAGGAGTTTTTTTTAGATTCAAACTTTTACAAGGGCATGTACTGCGATATATTTACAAGTTATGTTGGTGATAACGTTGAGGATTCAGTTAAATGTGCTTGGGGGATGTTTGTATAAAGATCCAAGTTTAATATCAACGGAATTACAGGAAAAATATTTAGTGATTTGTCATAGTTTGTTAAATGGTGGTGTACAAAATATTTCTGAGATCATTGAGAAGGAGTTAATTAAGATTTTACGGCCAATAAGTTTATCTCGACAGTTGAAATTAAATGATATAGAAAATATTTTCTATGCACTACAGACGAGTATGGTAACCAGTAACAATAATCCCATTTTAAATTTTAAAGAACATCTAATTACAACGGGAAATAAAACAAATAATAATACCCCAAATGGAAACGAATTCTTTAACACCATGGTAAATTATAAATCACATAAATAATATAGCCTTAAATTTAATCTTTTATTTCAGATTCAAGACACTATCGATCTTTTAGATAGTGATGAAATAAAAAATTTGGCAAATCATTGCGTTAACAGAGGATTTGCACTTTTAAGCGATGGTATTTCCGAATACTACTTACCTCCTCAAAAGGTGATGGAATTACCCGAAGGTGCCCCTTTTGTCCATCCGAGTGATATACAAAAACCAATGGCTAAATTAATTCCCATCATAAACGGATTAGTAGGCAAAAATACGTTCTTTGATCAACTTACTGAGCAATTAGTTCTTAATGCTAAAGTAAAAACGCTCGGGGCGAATATATACGAGTGTTTTTGCAGTACAAAATAGATTTTTATAACATATAGGTTAGGTTTAAAATGTAAAGTAATGAGGGTTAGATTAGTGCGTTTTTAACTGTTTTTTTTTTTTTATTAATTTATCTGGGATATTATAAATAAATACATTTTTTGTAATAAGTTTTTTTTTCTAAATAAAAATTAATAGTTGTTATTTAAATAATTTGAATTTGCCGCTTTCAATGAGCAGTAATATCACCATTACAAATTAAAAGTCACTAAAATAAAATATGAGAACATGGCGAACTGCGTATGACATTTTCAATTTAGCTCAAAAGTTTTTCGGTTATGTAGTGTTGATTAATTGTATATAATTGGACGTGTTTAGCAATAAAACGGAGAGTAGCAACAATCCAAATGTGGTAAGTTTGTAATTTGTATAAAGATCATAAAACGTAAATTAATTTCTTATATTCTCTACTTATTTACTCGTTAATTATTTTTTTTATTTTATTAATGGATTGCTGACGCCGATAAAGTGAAACGAGCGATAAACACGCCGTTATCATTACTAAGTTTATCAATTGCGCGATTTTATGAATGGAATTTGTTTTTCTGCGCGGCCCATTGCTCAACATTTATCATATTATAAAGTCTATATGCAGACCTCTTGGAATTTTATGCACGTCTGAACGTGTTGACGTTAACTTCTAGTAGTCTTTAATTGAATGAGTGTCTTTATTAGATGCTTACAGTGTATAGTGACCAATACGTTTTATTAAGATAAATTCTAACTAATTTAAATGTACTTTAAGCAATTACTTAATCAACAATAGGTAATTTTTTACTATTTTTTTTACTTCTATAAATAATGATGGATGCTTGACTTGAAATTATGATTGATGATCAGCAAATATTAAAAGAAATAGTTGTCGGAAAATATTCTGGTTTTGCGCAGATGTTTAAACTATTTATAACTAAAGTTAAAGGTTTTTGTAAGTGATTGATGTGGTACTGAATGATTTCTCCTTGAAAACTATCTAAAAGATTATGAATTCAAACATTTGTTTTAAATTAATTGACGGTGATGATTCATTTAACCGCAATAAAATGATTAGATATTTTTCTGTATAGCTTTATTAATTATTGTGTATGTATATAAAAAAATAACTCAATATTTCTATTAACACTGAGATCTAACCTAAAAGATTTGTAAAATGGCATAATGACAGATGAAACTAAAAACTTTCAGAATACCAACATAAATATGTAATTGATTGGAGTACATTACACTCAACTTTCTCTCATTTTATATGACACTTATAAATTACAATATTTCTAAAATGTCCTTCGGTATAACATGGAAATTAAATTTTAAAACATATTTATTTCAATATATCTTTGAATCTGTTGGTTGTTTGTTATATAGGGTGGCTGATATGTGTCACTGCGTTGCTATGGTGATAAAAACTTTCAAAAGCAAGAAAGTAATTTTCAAAGTTCAATATCTCGCAAACTGTTAAGTTTAGTTTTATGATGTGTTTATGAATTTTATTTAAAATTTAGAGATTAACTTATTCCATATTTCTATGGAATAATATATTATACAGGGTTCCATTAAAGAAAACGCACCTTTACTTCGTCGTTATTTTTTGACTGACCCTGTATACTTAATTTATCTTTATTGTAATAGATTTTAAAGAACACTAAACCTTTTGTATGTTAACATATTTTGCTAGCTACAGTGGCGGACAAAAGTCTACACACAGCATTGAATGATGAGTTGTTTGTACAACATAAAATCAGTATTACAGTGTAATTAGAGATATTTACTTATTCACAAATCGTATAACAATTACATACATACTAAAAATTCAACAAATAATACAAAAATTAATAGGACTAAAGTTTACATACACAATAGTTTTTAACTAAAAGTAAATTATTAGGTAATGTAACGACAATTTTTAAAACTCAATATTTTGATGGCCCTTCTATAACAGCACGCAAGCGTCGTGGCATTGAAGCAACTAAGTTTGTTATCTCTTCTGCTGTTTTCGCATCTATGATTTCGCGCTACCGGATCTTACGTTCCAAAACCTCTCAAAAATGCTTGATTGGATTTAATCCGGATTCTGAAGAGGTGTATTCAACTGCCTGGGTGCATAATATAGCAACCAATGTTAGAGAAGGTTTGCTGTATGCTTGGGGTCATTGTCTTGCTGGAATAATCAGTGATTATTGAGGGTCAAGCTTTTCACTGATGGCTTCAAATTTTGTTCTAAAATACTTTTATATTTATACCAATCTTTCCTACACCAGATGCTGCTACCGCTCCCCAAACCATGACACTACCTCCGGCGTGTACAACTGTTGGTCCAAACTTTTCAACTTCCAAAAAGGTTGCACCAGAAATCCGTTCCCTTGTCGATATGAAATTGAGCAAATTCTAGTCGAAAACGGCGATTCTTTTTTAAAATCAGCAGTTGAACTCTTTGTACGCTACTTGAATGTACAGACTTATTAGATACAGTCGCGATGTGGTCAGCTAATTTTAGTGCGCTAACTCTAGGGTTTTTGCTCACTTCTTTTAACATGGAGCTAATATCTCTTCTAAAAAGTTTCTTTCGCCGACCTATACGAACTGTTGCTCGGCTTAGATTTAGAATTTTGGTCATTTGGAAGTAAGATTTCTTTTCAATGTTTTATCGCCGATTTTCTTATTTCAACAGAAATCTCTTTTTGCGATGATATTTTGCAATCAGTTAAAACAGTGAATTAAATATTAATAACTAGATCTGTAATCCCTACTGAATTAAGAAAAAATAAAATGCAATACTTGATTTCTTTAACTCAAATGCATTGTATAGACTTTGAGATTGTGGGCTTTTGTCGTGTTAGTTTTTGCGTTGTTTGTTGAATTTTTATTATGTAGCTATTGCGCGTTTTGTTTTTTTGTGTCAATAAGTAAGTATTTCTAATCACACTGTATTACTAATTTTCTATTATCTTATTATGTTTTACAAAATCTTCATAATTCAATGTAGACTTTTGTCCGCCACTGTATCTTACTTCAGGAGATAATCGATCGTCTTCATACATATCAGTGACCCTGTATATGTTGTAGCTAGGTTTATAGGATTTTTATAATGTATGTGCTTTTATAATTTTATTATGAAAAATGTGGTGATAAAAAATTTCAATCAAATTGCGAAATCAGAAGTGGTTCCTTATCTAATCACAAAGCCAATTTTTTTCATACAAACTCAGTTTAATAAGTACAGGGTGTCACAAAAGTCCGGTAGCACAGTATTTCTGTTTTGACATAAATTTTATTCAAACATTAACAAATAACATTGTACAATTGAAATTCGAAGTATTCACCCTTCGCCTTCATACGGACCAGCAGATGCTTTGGGAATGCAGTCATCGTGGCGGAGAGGTATTCGACATCGAGATCGTCCTATGCCTTCTGAAAGACGCTTCTTGTGGGAATAGCACAGGCTTTCAAGGATCAACCACACGGAAAAGTTGAGGGGGTTCAAACCAGGCAAGTAGGGACACCACTGTTAAAGCACCTTAACTATGTGCGCGATCTCTAAGTCTTGTTGGAATGTCTATAGGCGTCCGTCCAAGGAAGCACTTCTTTCATTAGAATCTCATCAAGGTAGTTGTTCTTGACCCACAAAAATCAGCGGTGTCTTCTTGGTCGAAGTCAATGCGGCCCAAATCATGACTTGAGTAGCATCGGGAAAGTAGCAACCACGCTTATTTTCTTCCTGAACCGTTCGCGCGAGGATTCTGACGTTTTGGCTGTTGAATGTTTGTCCTGTGCACAGATTCACGGCTGATGTTTAGCTTCTTAGCCATTTTTCTAAGACTTCTCTTGGAATTCTGGCGGACTTTGTCCCGGATAGGCTTGACCATGGTGGGAATCACGACAGTCTCTGGTATTCTACTTCTGAGAAGATTCTCGATGCTACCGGTTTCCTAATAACTAAGGAATTTTGGATTGGATACCTCTACGGGAAATTTTCTAATCTTTTTCTGAGTCACCCCAGCTTTGTTCAGCTTCAAAATCGTGACTGTCTACGTTGGACATCATTACCTGAAAACGCACAAAGCAATTTTTTTGATACAACAAAATCGAAAAAACTTAAGCTCTCGTACTTTTGTGACACTCTATACTACTGTTTCATCTTTACATTTTTTAAAACGCCCTTTAATTGCTAACTTTTATAAGCTAACTTTCATAGTTTCATCTTTACATCATAATTGCGTTATTCTTTTCCTGAGCAAATCTTTCACATTTCCTGCCATACCACTCGTTTCTTTGTTCACAAAATCTTGCTGGCTGTTTCTAATAGAGCCCTCTCGATGATACTCCATTCTTCATCTATATTTTCACTCAAATCCGTTTCTCTTAGACTTTTACTGATATCTTGCTGATATGCGTGTAGGGTATTCTTAACTTTTCCTACAAATGTATTCCATTTCATTCTCTTTGTGCTTTTGTGCGTTATCATGCTAGATATTCTTTGCTGCAAGATTCTTTTTACTAAGAAATGGTCACTATCACAGTTTACCCCTCTGCATGTTCAACAATTTTATTCGTCCTTGTTGTTCCTGGGATCTGTCACCGTCTGGCCTTATAGATGTCCTTATTTTCATTGCCATGATTTTAGCCATTTGGCACAGTCTTGTTTCATTGTGCAGGGTAAACTTTGCCACTATTTCTGTTGTGTGTTGTTCTTTCTTGTATTAAAGTCGCCCACCGCTATCAGCAAATCATATCCCGTAAATCCGCACCTTCTCCAGGTTATCATACAAAACGTCCTTTTCTTTATAATCACTTGTGGCCAATGAATATCAAAATCAATTTCCAAATATATGAAAAAATTAAATATTTAATGTTTTTTAACTATGTACATTTGAATTTTGAATAAAAGAATCTATTTCAGTAATATTTATTTAATTTTTTTTTATTAAACAGATTCAGAAAACGAATACCATAAAAATCATTTTGTTATACTCGAAGTTTTGAAATTGTTAATAAGCGTGCAATTAAATTTGTGTCGTTTACTATTATCAAAAGTGTCAAAGTTCACTGCAATTCGATGTTTTAAACATTCTAAACTGTTTAATTATGTACTTCCAATCAATTTAAAATTTCCATCGTCGAATACTAAATTTAAACGCTAATTATTTTGTTGTTGTTAGATCCTGTTTCGTGTAATTAAAAACGATGCCAATCAATCCTTAAATAAACGTAAAAGAACAAAATGTCTTCAAATCCCGGAAAGTGTACCTGCGACGACGACCAGACCACTCCCGACACGGACAGTGGCGATTCTGGCGTTTCATCACCAAAGAACGTCACCAAAATTAGAATACCCGCAATATTCAAGAAACTACCCCATTTAAAAGAAAAAAAGGATAAGAAAGATTGTGGAAAATCCGTAGATGGTTACTCATCGCGTTACACTTCCGCGGGAAGTAGCGGAAGCGGTAACGATACGAGCAGCAATAAAAAGTCACCAAAGTGGTCCTTGAAACTGTACTCGAGCAAGAAGAAGAAAAGTTCGCAATATAAAACTTCATGTTGTAAATGTAAATGTTCAAGACGATGCGAAATCACTCCAAGTAATAATAATAGTGATTTGGGTGCTGGTGGGTTATCGGATACTGATGATTCTGCTGACGTTTCTACCAAAAGTAATGAAGAACCAAATTTTGAAAACCGAACAGAAACAGTTGAGGCTACCGGGTGTAATAAAGGACTTATCTTTCCTACTTCTTGTATTACAAATTTACAATGGTAAATTTTTTTTTTGTCATAATTCGAATTATTGAAAATTTGTTTTTACCTAGGGGTGATATAAATATGGAAGATATTGATGAAGAAGCAAGAATCGAAAGAGCTCGCGAAATCGAACAAGGAGTAGATGCGCCACCAAGTTTTCGACATGCGCGAAGAGTCCAGCTTCTTTGTGGCGACGAAAACGATCAAGCGCTTCGACGTTTACAAATTTTGTGTCCACCTGATGTGACCATTGATTCGCTAAGAGCTTTATTCCAGAATGTTACTTTACGGTCGTGTCCGCTGGATGTTATTACAGGGTGTCACACACAAGTGGATTTTATTCATTGCTTAGTCCCAGATCTCCTTAACATTACCAATTGTAGTTTTTATTGGGGTAAGTTAGAATAAAAAAAATTTATTATAATAAATTTTAACTTAATGATATAATTAATTATTGAATTTAGGTAAAATGGATCGTTACGAAGCGGAACGTCTCCTCGATGGTAAACGCGAAGGTACGTTTCTTCTTCGCGATTCCGCCCAAGAAGAGTTCCTTTTTAGCGTTTCCTTCCGCAAATATGGCAGATCATTACACGCTCGTATAGAGCAATGGAATCACAAATTTAGTTTTGATTCTCATGATCCGGGTGTTTATACTTCAAACACCGTTTGTGGTTTAATTGAGCATTACAAAGATCCAAGTAGTTGTATGTTTTTCGAACCAATGCTCACATGGCCGTTACATCGTAACTTTGTTTTCTCATTACAACACCTTTGTAGAGCATCAATTGTTGGTAAATTAGCTTACGATGATGTTAATCAATTACATCTCCCGAAATCTCTTAAAGTTTATTTAAAAGAGTATCATTATAGGCAAAAAGTTAGAGTGGAAAGATTTGATGATGATGTTGCTTGGCTTGATTTAAGGAATTCAACAGCAACCTCTTAAATTTTTTGTTGATTTTGTTGATAGATTAGTTACCAAAATTAATAAGGTTTCGATTTTTTGGAATGTTGGAATGTTTTGTGATTTTTTTTATGGTTTATGAAATGGGGAAATTTATAAATACTCAAGTTGTTTTCATAAATTTAATTATTTATTAAGTTAAATTTTAGTTTTTTTTTTTAAGTTTGTTTTGATTTGATTGTTGCATTTGATAACGATTAATTAATGATTGTGCATTTCTCATTGCATAAATGAAATTTAGTTTTATGGAAACAAATTTTAATTAAGTAGGGCTATTTAAGGTAGATACATATCAACTAATTGATAAATAAAATGAATAAAAGACAAAATGTCCTTTTATTTAATTAGATTTGTTAAATTATTAACTTTGTTGCAGAAAATATTTTGGGAAGATCTAAAATAAAAATATTTGTGATTACAAAACAGTATTAGAATCATTTTTTATATAAATAAAATTAATCATTGTAACTAAAATAAATCCGAACAAGTTTTATTTATTAATATTTAGAACAAAAACCAAAAAATCTCATTAAAACATTCTAATTTCAATAAATCGTAACTGAATCGATTTTAAACATTGTTGACTTAGTCGATATTAGACAAAATGGAAATAAGCTATTTTCTCATTATATTAAAAAAGTTTATTACTTATCAGCAATCCGTTTGCAAGTTGTGCAATAATCCTAAAGCATTCATTCACTTTAAAAATTGTAAACGGAAATGCGACCTTGCATTAATGACGTAGTTAAAAAAATAGTGTCCTATCGTTGACATAAGATTCCAGTATTTTTTTATAATGTTTATTTTATATTTGTAGGAAATATTTACTTTATATCGAATGAAAATATTTAATTTAAGGAATGCGAAGATTCTGAATTTTAAACAAAAAATTGAAATAAAATTTTGTTTCTTAATTAAAAACAAGGTTTATTTAAAATTAACCAAGTAACATAAATAAGGATTAGCTTTTAAGTTTTTTTTTAATTCTTAATAAATCAAAGTTTGATCATTGATGATCACATTGCCTTTATTATTATTGAACGACGTAGTTAGTTTAAAAAATTCAATTACAATTTCGTTTGAACTTTAATATCATTGTAATAAAGATATTTTAAAAAGTTAACAATTCAGTCCACTTAAACAAATTGTTTTTAATGAACAATTCAACATCACTTAATTTATATGTATTTTTTTAAAATTGGTTTTTTAGTTAATTAATATCGCATTTATTGCGAATATGAGTAAAATGAATATGTATGATAGAATAAAAAATATTTTTTTAAATAACTTGTATCCGATAATGAATTTGTGGACAAATTCGATTATGTTGTAAATAGTTTGTAAATTTTGTATGATATTTGAGTATACTTAATTTATTGCGAATAATGTTTCTACAACTTTCGTATAATTACATTTGTTTTTTGCATTGTAAAGTACAAATACAAGTTGTATGCAACAATTTTTCGTTTTTATTCTTTACACCAATCCCCTGAATTATAAGGCACTTGTTTTACACGATTTATAAATTGACAAATTTCAAAAAACTAGTAAAAATGTATATTCCGCCTCATATACATCTATAAAAAGATTTGATGCCATTTTTTTCGGTTGATAGTGATGAAAAGAACAGGGGATTCCCAGGGTTGTAAAATATATACATTTATATACTTCGATTTCAGTGTAAAATGCTTTAATCAATAGGAAGAAGTCTATTAAGAATTAGCAAAAAAAACCTACGCAATTGTTAATTACGGATTTCATGACAAAGTCTTGAGATCTTCCCTAATTCGTCAACCAATGAGGCAGAATCACATCAAGAAAGCTCAAGTGATGAGAGTGACTATCAGAAAATATTGATAGTTCATGGAAGTGATGGAACTTATAATTAAGTTTTAAGAGTCTGTTTTTTAATTTTTTGTTCCCAATGTAAAATAAATTAAATATGTACTTATATTACTTTCATATGATTATTGTTTTATGAACTAAGTACAATTTTGAGTTTTCCTTACTTTTGTTTTACTTAAATAAACGACTGAATCATGCATATTTTTCATCTTACACCATTTTGCTTAGCAAAATCCAAGATTTCAAATTGCATGGTTTTGTGCAGAACCTATTTTCCATGTAAATTGGGGATAAGTGAATATAATTATGCTATATTAGAAACTAATACCAATATAATGCAAAATAATGATTTCTGATAACAAAACTTTTATTATAATTAAATTGTTATAACAATTTTAACGATTATTTTTATTTAACTTATTAGTTTTTTGCCAACGGATTTTTAACAACAATTATCACCGAATCACCACGAAGAAACATCTTTGATATAAACCGATCTCTTGCAACCGGCTTTTTGCACTATAACAAAAAACATTTTTCGTAAGTAGATATATCAACATCTATCATATAACAATTTTAGAAATTAATAACCTACCAATCCTTTCCCTTTTCTATGATCTTCTTTCCACATTTCACGAACATTCTCAAGAATCATATTCATATGTCGATCAAACGTTTTAACTCTCCCCAAAATTTTCTTATTATTGCGACAATTGATTAAAACTTGAGTATGATTAAGTACTGATTGTTTCAAAATCGATAATGGACCAACTTCAAGCTCAGGTTCTAACTTTAATTCTGTATTATTCGTCATTTTTACGAGCTTTATTATTTTAGCTTAAACAAACGTATTTGAAACGTTCAAGAAAGCAATCTGTCAATAGAAACTAATACCAACATAACACAAAAAAGATTTCTAATAATCAAAATTTGATTGCGATTAAATTGTTAACAGTTTTAATGATTATTTTCAAGTTATTTTATTTAAGTTATTTATCTTCCAATCTATTAAAGAAGTACATCCCCAATATAAATAAACACCAACATAACAAAAAAAAGAAAATCCCTAGATTCCTACACATCACTTCATTGGTCACATTTCCACATCTTTAAAATAGGTTATGTTAAATATTCAAACTATTTAAGTTATTTTTATCGGCTTGTTTGCTTTATTATCAAATATAAGTGAGATTTGAGTTTATGAGATTACAGTTGAGATTATAACCGGTAAGAGTCAAGTATAAATCAATTTTTTGCAATGATGTAACTTTGATAATTTTTGCAGATATCAAAATGCAGGATAAACCAGCGGAAGGTGTTGAAAGTAAAAAGGCCTTAAAAAAGGAGGCGAAGAAAGCTGAAAAAGCCGCTAAACGTGCCGAGCATAAAGAAGCATCTGGAAAAGTTCAACCTACTGTTGAAAATGAAGGTAAAAAACCCAGATTTAACTAAAATATATTTATTTATGTGGCGACAATTTTTAGTTGATTACTCTCAGGGAAAATATGGCGTTTTACCTTTAATAAGATCGGATACGAATGCTATAAATCGCGACTTTACCGATGTAAAAGATCTAAGTGGTACAATTGTTGGAAAAACAGTTTGGGTGAGAGCTAGATTGCATACGGTTAGGGGACGTGGAAAGCAATGTTTTATGGTGTTAAGACAACGAGAGTTTACAATTCAAGCAGTTTTTAATGTCAGCGATAATGTTTCTAAACAAATGGTTAAATTTGCAAGCAAGTTAGTTAATTAAATAATTTTTTCTGCAATTTTTTTGCAACAAAATAATTTTTTAGCATCTCTAAAGAAAGCATTGTTGATCTCCAAGCTGAAGTTGTAAAAGCTGCTGCAGAAATCAGTGGGTGTTCTCAACGCGATGTTGAATTAGATGCAAAAGAAATTTGGGTTGTTTCAGCTTCTGCCCCACAATTACCTTTACAAATTGAAGATGCTTCTCGTCCAGAAACTGCAGAGGTATTTTTATTTATTTATTTATTTTTTAAAATAAAATTATTATTTTAGTCTGATGGATTAAACATTCGTGTAAATCAAGATACACGGTTGGACAATAGAGTTTTGGATTTGCGAACACCAGCAAATCAGGCTATTTTCAGATTAGAAGCAGGTGTTTGTAAATTATTCAGGGATACTTTAACCGATCTTGGATTCACTGAGATTCACACCCCAAAAATTATTTCAGCTGCCTCTGAAGGTGGAGCAAATGTATTCACTGTGAGTTATTTCAAAGGTAAATTACACTAAAAAATTATTTTTGAACAAATAAATTAATTTTTGTACTTTTAGGATCAGCTTATTTAGCTCAAAGCCCACAACTTTATAAACAAATGGCGATTGCTGCCGATTTTGACAAGGTTAAGATTATATTAATTATCATTATTATTAATATTATCTTTTTTGAGTAGGTTTTCACTGTTGGGGCTGTTTTTCGAGCTGAAGATTCAAACACACACCGACATTTAACTGAATTTGTTGGTCTCGACTTGGAAATGTCTTTTAAATATCATTATCATGAAGTTTTACACACAATTGGTGCCATGTTTTGTAGCATATTCCAAGGATTAAGAGACAAGTAATTCAAAACCACTTATTTTAATTTAATCATTTAAATTATTCTTTTTTTAAAGTTATTCTCGCGAAATAGAAATTGTTGGAAAACAATTCGCCGTGGAACCTTTCACTTTCTTAGACCCACCTTTGATTCTTCAATATGATGAAGGTCGAAAAATGTTAGCTGAAGCTGGAGTTGAAGTTGGGCCTGAAGAGGATTTAAGTACACCGGCGGAAAAGCTTTTGGGGCGTCTTGTTAAAGTGAAATACGACACCGATTTTTATATGCTTGATAAATATCCTTTGGCTGTACGCCCATTTTATACAATGCCGGACCCTAATGAGCCAAAAAAATCAAATTCGTATGATATGTTTATGCGCGGAGAAGAGATTCTTAGCGGAGCTCAACGTATTCACGACCCACAATTGTTAACTGAGAGAGCTAGTCATCATGGAATTGGTGATTACTAAAAATATTTTTGTTTGAAACATTTAATTTTTGGGGTAATTTCAGATTTGTCAAAAATTGCTGCGTACATTGACGCTTTTAAATTCGGTTGTCCTCCCCATGCTGGAGGCGGGATTGGAATGGAAAGAGTTGTTATGTTATATCTTGGATTAGATAATATTAGAAAAACTTCTATGTTCCCGCGTGATCCTAAACGGATTACTCCTTAATGCTTTGTATTTTATATGAAGATAAATGTAATCATTGTGGTAATAAGTTACCACAATGATTATTCTTATTATTATTCATTTTTGATAATAAGTATAAATTCAATTTAATAATCACCAAGTCTGTTATTGTTTACCTAGATATGATGAAATTGTAAGTTGATCTTTCAATTTTGGCGTTATCCAGGGTGCGCCATCAGGAGGCGAACTAGCATTAGCACTTACAATTGGACCGCGTTATGCATCACTTGACTAAGCGACAAATGAACAGTGTTGAGAAAAACGGGATTTTCATTTTCATCTCTCTAAAAATATAAGACTTCGCAGAATAGACAGACTCAAACTTATTGAACATTGTCTATTTGATCACAGAGCACTGATGACAGCCATCATAAGCACAGAATCCACTTGATCAGTGGTTTTACGATTATACAGGTGTTTCTGTAAGTCGTGGCATAAGTTTAATTACAAATACTAGAGTCATAATGATGTTTTGTGTAAAAATGTTTGAAGAAAATTATCTAGAGTTTGATTTTGTACTTTTCAACTGGTTTCTATTTTATATAGAGTTTAAGTCTAACTAGTTTCGGTCCTTGGCCATCTTTAGAGACTCTACAAATTCCAAAAAAAGATTAACATCCTCATCCTACCCTTTTACAAACAAATTTCTTAATATTTCTTTTTCTTTTGTTAAAAAGATCACATATCAAAGTCGAAATCAGATTATTAGTTACTAATTTACAAAATTAAAGTTTAAAAAGTTGTAAAATGAAATTAAGGACGATATTAAAAAACTCGATATTAAAAATCGACGATTTTTTTTAATCAATGTAATGACCTAAAAAACACGTTAAAAATAAAAAGAAAGTGCGGAAAAGTGACTTAACACTATACCTAACTTCAGGTTTAAAATGTCAACCACATATTTCTAATCGGGGGTAAATACACAAGAGCTTGACTTTTAATCGGATAATTTTATTTTTACACGAAAGTTTTGTTACCATGGAAATAACTCGAAATCAAAAGCATGATAAAATCGCGACAGCTTTAGCTGGAGCGATTTTATCTTTTGATTTTGATTGAGAGTTATTTCCAAAGGGTAACAAAACTTGAGTGAATTAAAAATAAAATTATCCTGATTTAAAATCAAGCTCGAGCGTATTTTAGGGAGATTAATACACGACAATTGCACAATTTATCAACAATTTTTAATTATTTATTAACTATTTTTGACTTAATTATAGTTGTCAAAAATGTGACGTAAACAAAAGTATATATATGGTAGTCGCGTTTTAATCAGTTATAAAATATCACGTGTGATTTATTCAGTTGAAAAACCTAGGTAACTTTTATCCACTTAGAAATTCACGTTATTGGTCGAAATTTTAAACGATCGTTACTCTGATTGGTTGTATATTATTGGAGTGCATTAATCGGGGGTAAATACACAAGAGCTTGACTTTTAATCGGATAATTTTATTTTTACACGAAAGTTTTGTTACCATGGAAATAACTCGAAATCAAAAGCATGATAAAATCGCGACAGCTTTAGCTGGAGCGATTTTATCTTTTGATTTTGATTGAGAGTTATTTCCAAAGGGTAACAAAACTTGAGTGAATTAAAAATAAAATTATCCTGATTTAAAATCAAGCTCGAGCGTATTTTAGGGAGATTAATACACGACAATTGCACAATTTATC